ACATATTTATGTTTGTGTTCTGGTGACATAGGGGTCACTTATATGCTGAATTGAAATGAAGGTGTAGACTCTACCCTCTAGCTGCTTGTTGTGGGCTGATGATCATTTGTGTAGACTCCAATGTCTATGTAAATGACAAATAGCCTTCCTGGTAATCTGACAGGGCTCTGCCTTTCTACCCAGTCCCTCTCTCTCTCTGGCAAGCGCACATTTCCTAAAGCAAAAACCTGTAAAAAAAAAAAAAAAAAAAAAAAAAGGAAAGAAAAAAGAAAAGTAAAAAAAAATTGTGCTGACAAGAGGAAAATTGGAACGACAGGATGCTATAGCCAGAAAAGGTATTAACGTCCAATGTTAGAGTTATAATCAGGAACTGAAAATTAATATCACCATGAGCTATTAATCCACATCCACTAGAATGGCAACATTAAAGACCGACAGTGGTGGTAAAGTATTGTGCGTAGGAAGCTAAATACTATAAGGCCAACTGAGGTTTGAACCCAGCCTCTGGGGCTTGAAAAACACACTGAGTACATGTGCATGCATGCCCCAAATCATGACAGGATACAAGGAAAAGGACTGGGGGTGCTTTGTGTGTGTGTGTCTCTCTCTCCTTTTTCTCTCTCTGGTGAACACAAATGCCATCTGACGGTTAAAAAAATAGTTATGGAGATGGATAGTTGTGATGGTTGGACGATAATGTGACTATTGCCTGACTACTTAAAAAACAGTTTGAATGATAAATTTTGTTATGCAACTGTGTCATAACAAAATATAAGTAAAAGATAAAAGGGAAAAAAAGGAGACAATTGCTCCAAAGCGAATGTGCCTTGAAAACATTATTAAGACTACATATTTTACAATACCATTTATATGTAAAGTCAAAAAAAGGTAAATCTATAGAGAGCACAAGCACAGATTACTGGATACCAAGAAATTACTGGATACCAAGAACTGAGGGTGGGAATGCGGACTGAAAAACAAACTAGGCATTCGTGTATACATGCCTAAAATCCCAACAGGACAGAGAAATGGAGGAAAGGAGAAAGAGACTGCAGTGTAACTATTCCCCTACTGAATGTTTGTGTGTGTGTGTGTGTGTGTGTGAGTGTGTGTGTGGGAGGGGAGAGTGCTTTCCTTCTCCTCTCTCTGGCAAAACAGCCAAAAAATACATAGGATGTTAGTTAAAGATATGGTACTGCAATTTAAAGGAAGTGTACAGTAAAAGGAATGTTAAGATCAGAATTCTATGAAACTCCATTACTTAAATGTTATAAAGAGAAAAAATGTGAAAAAGACACTAAGAAGAGGAAGCATATACAGTGCAATTTAACTCCTCGGCGTTTCAAGAAAGAAAGTAGCCAACAGTGCTAGATGTGGCTAAGAAATCAAGTTACTCAGAGAAACCCATGGAGGAGATCCAAGGTGCTTATACAAGGTGCTTATACTGGGGGGGGCGGGGGGGGAGAGATACAGAGAGGAACAGGTGGATCCGCTCCTTTGTTTGTTTGTTTTTTGCCACAGGGTGGGTGTGCTAGCCAGCAGGAGAAAGACAGAGGGAAAGTCTGATATCACTCACCAGGAGTGATGGCCACATCGCAGTCCTTTCTCCTCTATTCTCATGGGACTTTTGTTTGTTTTTTTGAGAGATTTTTGCTATAGGGCACATGCACTTGTCGGAGAGAGAGAGACAGAAGAGAGACAGAAAGCAAGAATTCAATCACAAGGGGGTATGGCCATGCTGCAATCCCTTTTCCTTCATTCTCCTCTTGGGATTTTCGGCATGCACACACATGCACCCAACCTGAGTTTTAAGCCACCAAGCCAAGGACTTGAACCACAGTCGACTGACTATGTGGGAGTCCAGTGATGTAACCATTACACCACCTATTTATCTCTCCTTGGGTGATTTTAAGCACACACAGGCACACGCACCCAGAGTCAGTTTCAAGCCACTGGGTCTGGGACTCTTATTGTGGTCAACCACGTGTGAGTCCAGCACCTTAACCACCAAGCCACCTGCTGGCCCATGGATCTTCTCTCTTCTAGCAAACCACTGGTAATCACAAAACAGCTGAGTTCATTTTTTTTTCTCATGACATCCTAAAGCAGAAGTCAAATTTGGTCTAACAGGTTCATAGACACACCAGTCCATAAATAAGTACTTCCTAACTTATCAACACAAGTGACCTGACACATTTACATACTCTATTATAAAGAAGCCATGACGTTTCTCCTTAAATTATTAAGAAGGAAAAAAATCACTACATTCCCTTTGAATAATGATTGACGACAGGGACTTTGAATGCATTTAATATCCCCTCCGAATCATTTTCTTCTCCATTCTAAAAGAGTAAGACATAGCTACAACTATTTGTATCTTGCCCTGATATCTAGATCAATTTCAATTTCTGAGTTTTGTTCTCCCTGTAGAAAACAGGTCTCTACTCTCCCCATGAAAGCAAGGCACTAAGAGGATATTCCCTAGTTCTGTCAACTACAGAAAAATAGAGATGCGAGTAGAGAAATCATTAAGGATTAACATTTCTTAAAATTCTAGTGTTCCCCAGACTGCAAGAGCAGTTAATCTTTATTTGGGTACCCATTAAAATGTGATCAGCAGCCAAACTTGAGATGGCATTCATTAAAACTATTATGTTTACAATTATCCTCATTTTTTTTTTTTGTAGAGATTTTCGCTATAGGGTGCGTGCGCTCGCCAGACAGACAGAGACAGACATAGAGATAGAAAGCAAGAAATCACCCCCCAGGGGGGATGGTCACGCCGCAATCCCTTCTCCCAATCCCTTCTCCTCCATTCTCCTCTCGGGATCTTGGGCACGCACGCACACGTGCCCAGCATGAGTTTTAAGCCACCGGTCCGAGACACCAACCGCAGTCGACCACGTGGGAGTCCAGCGACATAGCCATTACACTAACTGCTGGTTCCTTCAAAGCACTCTTAAAAACAAACAAAAAGAATGGTATTATATTATCTATCACCATTGTACCAACAGTTTTTGTACCTTTAACTGAATACATATGAAATAGTGGAAAGGTGCTGACACACACTTAAAACAGAAATACAGTGAATTCTCATTGTTAAATTATATTTTCTTAAAATTCAGACATGCACAAATAGTGACAAAGTTACTCTTATTTGTTGAGACAGGTAAGATTACCTTGCTAAAAATGTTTTGAATATATTTTCTTCAAAGAAATTTTTTTTTTCCTCATAGATACTCACCAGAAGCAATATATACTAAGGAAAGCTGGCCTAAACAACAAAGCTAGTGTAAAATATTAAATGCTATACTTACTGAAAGCAATACATATTATCAATAAGATATTCAACAAAGACATAACTGCTCACTTAAAAAATGTCCTTATTTTCTTCAACTGGCTTTCATGTACATAAAATCGATTTAGATCCATCTATGCCTTGGAAAATGGTATTTAAAATAGGCTATTAGTTTAGGCAATAGGTAATCAACAAGTCAGGGAGTTCCAGAAGCATACTTCAATAGAACATTTAAGGGGCTACCCATCAGAAAAATCCTGAAGCACATCCTACTGGTGGCAACATAAACTGGTCTTATCTTTCTGAAAAGCAATTTATCCGTGAGGCCTTTCTATCCTTTGATCTACCTAAACTCATTCCAGGGGATTTTTCACACACACAAACAAATAAATAATAATTTAAAAAATATATTTTAAACCTATACGTAAAAGTGTCTTCAGTATAATACAACTTAAAATGGTGAAAAATGAGGAACAACCTAGAACAGGCAAATTAATTAAGGTCACATCAACTTAAAGGAACTACAATTAAAAAAATAAAAACAATTTCAATGACAGATGACAGTGTAGTGAAAAAAAAATACAAAACTACATGTTTTCACATTTACTGGAAAAATGCAAGAATGTGGTAAGAAGGGAAGAGGAGAAAAATAATAAGACCACAATAAAGTGATCTTGTGGGTATATGGGTGACTTTTCTAGATTTTATTATACTACTGTTGAAGCAATAGATACAGCAGAAAAGCATTAATTTAAAAACCTTCCCATGACCTGGAACAAACAACAAAACAAATACAATGTACTGAACTGAAACTGGCTGAAGAGGCTCAGCTGGTATTTGAACCATTACTAAATCAACTTTTACACCTTAGTTTCTATGAGTACAAAGAGCAACAATTTAAAGAAAATAGCTGCTAAAGAAAAATTACGGTGCTGAAACACACTACTATTATTTCATAAATAAGAAATGTTAATAGATTCAGACACTTAAAGTTTTGATAGCCTATAGTTTTTTAAAAAATATAAATCCATTCATTTCCTGTTTCAAAGGGGTGTTATTTATCCATCCACCTTTGAAAGAAATGACGAGTCTGCATAAACAAAAAAGCAGTATTACTTTGTTCTTTATAATATGAATCAGTGACCTTCTAAAAAACAAAGCTAAGATTATGAGCATATTAAAAATGTCAACATATTGCTAAATTTAAAATATATTTAAGTTAAAAAGGATGTGTGTATGCTAGGGGTAAAAATGCAAATTAAACAGTTGGCATTTCATTTCTTTAAAAAGAACAAATTTAATCTTACCACATGTATCTGTCTTTTAGCAACTTAATATCTTAAGTTTAAGGAAAATGACATATCAAATAGACCTCCTCAAAATATCATTTATAAAAACTGACAAATGACTGCTCAAATATCTAATCTAGGAGAAAAGCCTGTTACTGGAAATGACTTTGATTCAAAGATTTTTTAATGACACTCAAATTCTGAACAAAAATAATGATAAAAGAAAGTCAAGTTTGATTCTCTGAACACCTATTTCCTGTCCAAACAGCCCTTTTGTTCTGCTTCCCTGCTTAATTTTAATGTTCAGTTTGCATCAGAACATAGAAACAATGACAAAACCTAACATACGCAGAAGCATAAGGAGCAAAAGTATAAAATGAAGGATCATTAAAAGATTAGAACAAAAATCCTACCAACAAAACCTCCACAATTTTCTGTTTGCTTCACCTCAGATTAACTTCACTTGAAGCTGTACTCCAAAGCAACCAAACCTGAATACCAAGCTCCACCTTCTCCAATTCTAGTGGCTGGAGAGTAAAATCTCCTCCCTGTTAGTGAAACTGATAATTGTGATTGGATACGGCTAATATCCATTATTTTAAAGAACTTTTCCTTGCTAGCAGGTTAGGTTAAGCACACTAAAACCCCCTGGATAAGCTGGTTTCTTAAAGGAACAGGAGGTAATGTTTCAGTTTTCCCATCATATGCTCTTAGCTTACTCTTTTGTCTAGGGGAAAAATAAACAAAGTAACATAAATGAAAATCCCACAGAAGGCACTTTAATTTGAAATTCGTGACCAATCCTTTAACATACAATGGTTTTAGCCTAAATCATTTGATATTTTTACAGAGCCATGAAGGTGAAGTTTGCTTTAAAGACAGATTCCTATTTTAATAGAGTTCATATATCGTCTGAAAATGTTAAAACAACAGAAAATTCATTACGAAAATTTCCCCAAAAGAATGAAACAATATTTTCTCTCAAGACTTAAAAGAGAAAAACATAATTCAAGTGAAAATACCCAGCTCTAAAATAACAATACCAAAGATTCATTTCTAAGCTATCTAAATTCACTGACACTGTATGTTCTCAGTATCACGATAGGCTAAAATTTTCAGGGACAACAAAGATTGATGTTATTACTTAAAACTGATGGGGAAAATGGGCAGAAATATTGTTTTTATATTATCACATCTAACATGTCTGATGTTATATGGGTGCTCTGTCAAGGTTAACACTCATTCAAACAGTAAGGAGATCTAAAAAGCAAAAGCAATCTGTCCTAGTGACATTTTCAGGTATAACATTTAGGAAGGTTTTTTTTTTTTTTTATTTTTTTATTTATTTATTTATTTATTTTAAAGGGTAGACTATTTGTACCCTTCTCAAATATTACTTAAAGGTGTCATGAACACTCTGAGGGGCAGCTGAGGGGCACATTCCTCACTAAGCCACATTACTTTCATTACAGATCCCTAAGAGACATGACACAGGTAAACTGGTTTTTAAACCAAAAAGTCCTACTGTCCCTGTATATGTTGCCTAATTTGCTAGGTTTTACAATGTTTAAGTTTATAATGTTTTAATTAGAACTGTGTAATTTTAGTAACTATCGAGCATTATTCTAACCATCATTATCTGACTGATTCAATAGCGTTCAATGTGCTTAATAAAATTTAATTTTCACCTCTGCAAAAATTATGACTGTGATTCATAAAAATAAATTCAAAATTAAAGCAAAAATTTAAAACAGAAAATCCAAAATATGCTTCTTCTCAAAATATGCTATCAATAAATGTATATATTACAGAATTTTTCATTTAAATTTACATTTTTCAAAGCTCAAAATCTTATAATCATTTTTCCTCAGAAAAAATTCATATAACACAAAGCCAACAAAATTGTTTTGAATACAAAGACAAGTCTTTGTAAGAAACTGAAAATTCACATAATTGCAACTAGACATGAATATGGAGCAACACCCTGCTGAAGCCCAAACAGCTGCATAATCTATTATGCCCTGTAAGTGGACAAATTGAAAGAGCCAATTCACAGAGGTCTAGTCCCAAGATCCTTTGCAAGGATTCACTGCTTTGAATGCCCAGCACTTCATGAGTCAAGTTCAGGTTTTCTTCCCACTGTGTGGACACTTGCAAAAGAACACTGGAAGCAGAGGAGGTACAGGAACAATCAGCAGAAAGAATACATAATTTGAGTTTACAGCATGAGACTCGAGGAAAACAGTTCATAGGTGGCCAAAAATTTTACAAGGTCATAGAAAAAGAGATGGCAAACATTTAAATCTTGAAATTTGGCAACCACAGAATTAGCAGACGGTCATGGTAATCAAATAAATCTATGTCATCAATTTTTCACGTCAAAATTAATTACTTATATGAAAGACACTATTATTTATTTTAAAGGGTAGATTATTTGTACCCTTCTCAAATATTACTTAAAGGTGTCATGAACACTCTGAGGGGCAGCTGAGGGGCACATTCCTCACTAAGCCACATTACTTTCATTACAGATCCCTAAGAGACATGACACAGGTAAACTGGTTTTTAAACCAAAAAGTCCTACTGTCCCTGTATATGTTGCCTAATTTGCTAGGTTTTACAATGTTTAAGTTTATAATGTTTTAATTAGAACTGTGTAATTTTAGTAACTATCGAGCATTATTCTAACCATCATTATCTGACTGATTCAATAGCGTTCAATGTGCTTAATAAAATTTAATTTTCACCTCTGCAAAAATTATGACTGTGATTCATAAAAATAAATTCAAAATTAAAGCAAAAATTTAAAACAGAAAATCCAAAATATGCTTCTTCTCAAAATATGCTATCAATAAATGTATATATTACAGAATTTTTCATTTAAATTTACATTTTTCAAAGCTCAAAATCTTATAATCATTTTTCCTCAGAAAAAATTCATATAACACAAAGCCAACAAAATTGTTTTGAATACAAAGACAAGTCTTTGTAAGAAACTGAAAATTCACATAATTGCAACTAGACATGAATATGGAGCAACACCCTGCTGAAGCCCAAACAGCTGCATAATCTATTATGCCCTGTAAGTGGACAAATTGAAAGAGCCAATTCACAGAGGTCTAGTCCCAAGATCCTTTGCAAGGATTCACTGCTTTGAATGCCCAGCACTTCATGAGTCAAGTTCAGGTTTTCTTCCCACTGTGTGGACACTTGCAAAAGAACACTGGAAGCAGAGGAGGTACAGGAACAATCAGCAGAAAGAATACATAATTTGAGTTTACAGCATGAGACTCGAGGAAAACAGTTCATAGGTGGCCAAAAATTTTACAAGGTCATAGAAAAAGAGATGGCAAACATTTAAATCTTGAAATTTGGCAACCACAGAATTAGCAGACGGTCATGGTAATCAAATAAATCTATGTCATCAATTTTTCACGTCAAAATTAATTACTTATATGAAAGACACTACTCATACACACAGCCCTAAGACTACTCTCAATCTCTATCCAAGAGAAATGCAAAGAGATGTGAACTTAGTGATTTCAGACGGTTCAAAATTCTCCAGGACCTACCTGAAAGAACTTCACGATGATTAACAACCATTTTAGGTGGCACACATTTTAAAGTTAGAGAGTATTTACCCCAATTCTAATCAGTTGCAGAATAAAACAACAGCATAAATAAATAAAAGGAAGGTAATATCACAACTATAAAACTTAGAACCAAGAGTATAAGAAAACAATATTGCTTCTCAGGAACAAGGAGCCTGCAAAAGCTCCACAGCTCACTGAATGTGACAATAATACCACTTTTTGAAAATCAACTATTCAAAGGATATAATGTACATTCTTTGTGGGAGCCTAGAGATTTCCCAAACCTATCAGCTAAAAACAATGTAGAGAACAAGCCACTGAACAACTTGGTCCCACTACATTTTTGATTAATTAACATGACTCTACATGAAGAATCACTACCTAGACTGTTGGGAACAATTCTTGGGTAGAGGACATACAGAGCAGAGCTAAAACTTCTTTAGAAGTTTCAAGGATTGAGAATAGCTCCAAGTGCTCTTCCCACAAAAGAAATTAACTGAACATTCTCCCTGGGCACTACTGGTGGTTTATGTAGTAGCTGAAGAAAGGCCCACCTCGACATTAGCAAAACATGACTGGGATCACTAAGGATAGAAGTCTGAAAACCACTATCTCATGGAAAATTAAAAATAACCTTTAAAAATGTCTCCACTGCCTACAAAAGTGAGGTATATGTTTGAGTTTGCAAATTCTGGTATGTATCTTAAATTTTAACTCACTAAGGGAAAAAAGGACAGCATATGTACGGTGAGTTGGGAAGGATGGCAATGGCCCGTTCAGCAAAATGCTGAACACAGAGGAAACATTAAGGAAACAGACACATAAGAAGCAAAAGCCAAGCTGATAGAGATTTCTCTCCCTAAAAAACAATAAATTATGTTGTTTTTATCAAAGGATTAAACAAGATCACCAATAAAAGCAAATGAAAAACACAGATCATATAGACAAAAGTACAAAGAAAACTGCATTCATAATCATCAACTATTAAGATTTAGTAGTTCCAGGGCAAGGAGGTGGCATAGTGGTTAAGGTGCTGGACTCCCATAGGACTAACCATGGTTCGAGTCCAGGACTCGCCAGTTTGAAATAGGCCGAGAGTGTGTGCATGCATGCCCCCAAATCCTAGGAGGAGATATGGAGAAGGGATTGTCAAGTGGTCATTCCTCCCCCTGAAGGATTGATTTTTCTGTCTCTGCAATGAGTGCACATACCCGATAGCAAAAAAATCTCTCTAAAATAAAGAGATTTAACAGTCATGGGGCCAGCAGGTGGCATGGTGATTAGGGCACTGGACTCCCTCATAGCTGACCACAGTTCAAGTCCTGGAGCTTGTGTCTTGCTTTCTTCTCTCTGTAGTGAATTAAAATAGTAATAATAAATAAAATTAAGTAAATAATTCTTTAATAGTCATAAAGTTTCATGTGCCAAATAACATGTAGATCATATAAGTAAAACTACTAGGCATAGAAAAGTGGACAGAAAATGACCAGCAGAGCTTAAGTTCCCTCTCTCTTCTTAACAGCCTAAACCAGAAAAAAGATTACAAGCCAAAGATTAATTTTTTTTTTGAGAGATTTTTGCTATAGGGTGCATGCACTGACTGGAGAGACAGAGAGAAACAAAGAGACAGAAAGAGAGAAATTACTCCCCAGAAGGGATAACCACACCACAGTCCCTTCTCCATTTTCCTCTCAGGATTTTGGGTACGTATGCACACGTTCCTGGCATGAGTTTTAAGCTCCCACGTCTGGGACTCGAACTGTGGTTGACTATGTGGAAGTCCAGCAATGTAACCATTATCCATATGCTGAACCCTAAAGATTAATTTTTTATATAGC